AGCATCCATTCTTAGAGGTGTACCTATTGCTCTACCAATGTTAAATAGAGCATTGAGCTTAAAGTAAGGGAGTGGAAGGCCAGGTAACTTGAACTAGAGGGGGACCACAGGAGGTTCTTTACTAGGATCAAACCCTAGAGTCCATTTGATAATTTTCATAATTTTCATATTTCATATTTGTTCAAGCAATGGTAACAGATTGTTTAGCAAACAATCTTGCATAGTCTTCCTCAGCTGCCAACTGGACTGCCTCCCATCCAAAAGCCCAATTTTCCAATTGCTTATGAACTTTGGTGATTCAAAGAAACTTCTAACTAGCTCCAATTTGGGATGTCCTAGTTGAAATTTGCCCACCAAAGTGAACTTAACCTCTTCCCTTAATTCGTCAATTTTCTTGGTAGTGCAGCTGATGCTCTGCTAGGGTTTCTGTGACCATGGTGCTGCTAGGTTGCTTTTCTCTAACTGGTGACCCTTTCCTTCCTCCTTTGGTTGGTTTGGTTTTTGTTGGTGAGTATTATGTTGTATGTTGGAAGGTTGGTTTCTCCATCTTTTTGCTTCCTAAGTTTTGAGTTTTCTAATTTTTTGAGTTACTATTCCATTGCCGCACTCCCCTGTTGGTTGAGGTGTGTTCTTCTGTTGTGTTATTCTCTTCTCCTTGCTTTCCTCAAATGACAAATCCCACCCCTACTAATTTGGAGACAAACATCCAATGGTCCAAGGCAACATTTGCTGATGTGGTTGGTAAGAGCTTGGGATTACAGAATATAGTGGAACACATTGATTTCCTTAAAATATATGATGAAGGAGCTGAATAGACTGACTATTCATTCATCAAGCATCTAGGAAGGATAGCTAGGAAATCAGCTATTTTCTTCCCTGAACTAGAAATCTCCACCTTATCTGCCTCCTTCAAATTCACTCTTAAAAGTAAATTCAAATTTTAGCTCCCTAAAATGAAAAGCTGTAAGAAAATATTTTGAGGACCTCAAGTTCCTTAGTGATTGAAAGGTGGGACATGTGGATGGTAAACACATGTCTATTTATTTATCTTGAGAGGAAGACTATGAAAAAATCTTCTCCAAATAGGTGCTACAAATTGAGGTATTGTCAATGAAACTTTTGAAATGGTCACCTGATTTTGATCCATGCCAGGAGCTTCAAATTATTTTTATATGGTTCAAACTCCAAGGGCTTAAACTTCGTTCATTCCAACATCAAGTGTTGTTTACTATAGAGGCTACTTTGGGAAGGCCTATGAAGTTAGATGTCCCAACATAAAACTTATCCAGACCCTTAGCTACAAGAATCTTAGTCAAAGGAAACATTACACTACCTGATGTGGAAGAGATTTGGTTGGGCACTGCCCTTAATGGCTACTGGCAGAAAATTATGGTTGAGCAAATGCCTTACTATTGTAACCATTGCAAGATGTTAGGTTATACAAATGAGAGGTGTTTTAGACTCCACCCTAGACTGAAGACTAGACAATAACACCCTTCTTAGATGGCTACTGCTCCCTCTAAGGAAAATCATTTTGTGGCTCCATAGTTTCTTGCAGATGTTGTCTCATCTCCTACTGTGATACATGATTCTGAACCCCCCAAACAACAATATCATCATTGCTCTTTCCCAGGACAGCCAACTTTCAGCATTGGGACCCAATGTTTCTGAAGACTTTCTGCACAATGTGGAACCTGCTTCTGAACCTTAACCCTTAGGATCCTCCCCCAATCTACCTGATTCAAACAACATTTCCCTTGTCGTGAAGGCAGTAGGACAATTCGCTGCACTCCCCACTTTGAGGGGGTGATCAGTCTGCCATTTCTCCCAATGATTCCCTCTTTCTTAATCCTTTGGCTCCCACCCCCTTCCCCGCCCACTCATTAGATTTAATGTAACAAGTTATAGAAGAGGTTTGGCAACTCCAAAAAGCCAGGAAGAAGAAGAAGAACCTCCAGGTTATGGTTGACAACTAAGGGGATACCTTACTTCTAGAAGCTAACAACTCTCATTCAACTAGAAGGGACACCCTCACCAGGCTCACCAGGGGGAGAAATAAATTCTTACATCATGATTAACTTCCTTCGTTGGAAGATTAGGGGAGTGGCTCACCCACTCTCAATAAAGAGACTTCTTTATCTCAACAAAAAACATAGGCTTTGGTGCAATGCCCTTTTGGAACCTATGGTTCACAAAAACCCACTAAAAATCATAAAGAAGTTTTATGGTTTTTCACCATTATGCTAATATTAACAATAGTATCTGGATCATGTGTAGACCTGAGATCACTTGGTCTGTCCTTTCGAATGATCCTAAATTTGTTCATTTTTCATTTGATATTGATGGAAAATACGAAAATGTTACTATTGTCTATGTTGGCAGCAATAAGGCTACTAGAAGGACCTTTGGGATGCTTTAAAGGGTATAGGGAATCCCATGTCTTCCCCATGGCTGGTGGGGGAAGACTTCAATTGTATTGCTTCTTGTTCAAAAAAATTTGGAGCAAGAACCTCCAATCTCAACAAGTTGACAGATTTTAATGATAACATCCAAGCTGCTAAACTTTTTGATCTTGGCTTTCAAGGGCCTATGTTTACTTGGAGAGGGAGAAATGTTTGGGAAAGGCTAGATAGGTTTTTAGCTAATGATTCCTTGCTTTAGAATTATTTGCATACTTTTTTTCCATCTCAGATTGGATGCCTCGAGCCATAGACCTCTACTGCATTGTATCACTATTTTCTCTTTTGCTGGAACAGCTCCTTTCAGATTCCAGAATATGTGGATTGAATATCAGGATTTTGAGAAGCTTATAAAAGACAATTTGGTTCGCGTTCAAAATCACAACCCGCTTATCAAACTCTGGCATCTACAAAAAATCATTGGGAAAGTTCTCACAGAGTGGAACTGGCATTCCTTTGGTGATGTCTATAAAAATGCTGATATGGTAGAAAGGAACCTGTCAACTTTGGAAGCTATTGCTGCTTCTAGACAAGCTTATGAATTTGACTTAGTTGAGGCCACTAAAAAAGATCTTGTTGCCACTAAGTGGCTTGAGAGCTTTATTAAGAAAAATGTTGCAATTAGCAAATTTTAGGAGGGGGGAAAAGAATACTAAGTATTATCATTCTTGGATTAAATACAGAAGGAAGTGCAACAGAATTCACAAGATTCAAAAGGTTGAAGGCTGCTAGATTACTAATTCCAAGGGTATTGCAAGAGATGCTGATAGCTTTTTTCTGACAGGCCACCAGTTGAACAACACCTATTACTGGAGGACCAATTATACACCAAGATCTCCAACTTTTTCACAATCCTTTGGATATTGAAATATGTGATGCCTTGAATTCTCTTGAGAGCTCTAAGAGTGTTGGTCCTGATGGGTATACTTGAGCTTCGTATAAAAAGGCTTGGCAAATTGTTAAAGGTGTTGCTATTAAAGTCATACAAATCTTCTTTATGGGAACCCCTTTGCCTAACTACTTTTGTTATTCAAATTATGTTCCCATTTGTACAGCCACAATGTACAGTAATTGGAATCATTTCAGACCTATTAGTATCACCAATGTGTTGTGCAAAATCATTAACAAAAACATTGTGACAAGGCTCCAACTCCATTTAACTAACCTTATTAAGCACAATCAAGCAACCTTTGTGAAGGGTAGATACATTCCTGATAATGTCTTATTAGCACAGAAACTTTTATTTGATATTGACCATCCTTGTAAGGGTAGTAATTTGATTGACAAGCTTGATTTGAAGCTAGTACACAAGTACATTTTTTTGAGTAAGCCTATGCATCCCTTTATCTAGGTCAATATTGGTGGAAGTTTCTTTGCTTCAACGACAAGTTTTGATGGGGTCTTTAGGAACTCCACTGGGGCTTGTAAGTTGTTTTTCTATTGTCCAATGATTTCTCAAGTTATACTGAAGACTGAAGCTACTACTATAAGCTAAGCTATACAATTTGCTGTACTGAGATAATGGAAATTGTTGGTAGTCAAAACTGATTCTTCTCTTCTCCTCCAAATTATATCTGGTGAAGTAACCCCCCCTCCCTTTTGGCTTATCCTCCAATGGCTCAAGCACATCCTCTCTTTGAGTAATTCCCATCATTTCCCTTCTCTTTTAATTTTAGAGAATGCAATAAGCCTACTAATTGTCTTGCTAGACTCGATGCAACTAAGATGGGGCTCTTGTTTCTTCTTCTTCTCTTCCCCCTCTTTCTTTTTCACTGAATGGGGACCTTTATGAGGGTCACTATCTTAAAAATGTTACCCCCACTATTTTTTAATAGATTTTACATTTTTACCAAAATAATATATATATATATATATATATGTATCTATATATTTATATGTGTATGTATCTATATATATGTACATTTTTTTTTTTTTTTTGGGTAAGGAGCATTATTCGGCTCCTTGCATGTTGATCGAAAAGAAAAACAACATAAAAATTGGAAGGGGTCCCCTATCTAAGAACAAAGCAAAACATACATAACTCACTCATAAGGGTGACCCATCCACTTACATCCTCAACACAAAAAGAAGGGAGAAATAAAACATTGTATATATTTGTATATGTATACATATATATATTTACAAACTAACTCCCTATCAAGCTATCCCTATCCAGCTTAACAACTGAATTCCCAGTGTCAAGAAGAAACACAATCTCAACAACAGGGCATAACAATTCATGTCCCCACCCACAAGTCCAGCAATCATCTTTGCAGTCTGAGATAAGGGATTTGAAGCTTGTCCCCCTGAGTCAGGGGGAGAGAGTTGTGGACACTTTAGGATGATCAACATGAGCACCTTCTATAGCTAGATAATTAGGAGGTCTATTTTAGCTTCCCTATACACAAAAGAGAAATGGATTTTACTTTCAGTACTAAGCTTGTTGATTCTATGAATCCATTGGTTAATTTGCCAAGAGGAGGACATCTTAGAATTTAGTAAATCCACCAGCAGGGAGGAGTCCACTTCAGCAAGAATCCACTACCAATTGTTCTTTTTGGCAAAATTTAAAGCCCAGAAAAGTGCAGCAGCTTCAGTTTCCAAAGCATCATCAACAATATAAGGGGCCTTGTAAAACATCAAAGTCTTCCCTTTATGATCTTTGAAAATTCCCCCAATGTCTGCTCTCTTGTTTGTGTAGCTTCCATCAGTGTTTATTTTAATGAAAGGATAAGGAGGTCTCTCCCATCTCACCTTGATGATTTTGAATTGGTTGGAACCCATGTAAGTTGTGGTCTGCAGAATCCTGGGGAACTTCCTCCAGTGTATTAGTTTGTTTAGGTAAGCCCAGCAGTTAGTCATCACCCAAGTAGCACTGGTCTCCCTATCCTCATGTTTGGCCATATTTCTAGCCATCCAAATAAACCAATCCACAAAGAAGGGAATTGGCTTGATGTTTATTCCTTTCCAATCTTTAAAGCAGTCAAAAATGTTGTCCCAGCCAATGTTAATCAGAATTATGTTCATTTGGGAAGTTAGTTTACTCCAAACCTCCTTGACAAAGTTGCACTTGAAGAAAAGGTGATCCCTTGTGTCTTGATCTAGCTTACATAACTAGCATGTTGAAGGGCCTTTCAGGCTTTTTAGTTTCAGGATATCATCAGTATAGGCCTTGTAGTTTTAGGATATCATCAGTTGACAGCAGGTTGTTGATAACTCTCCAAGAGAAGAACAACATAGAGGGGGTGAGATGTTTTTGGCAAGTGGAGATGTTCCACTGGAAAGAACCCAAGCTATACAGGTCATTTTGAATGTCTTTAGAGATACTAGCATTAGTCCTGTTCAGCAGGATGAGTTTATCCTTTTTATTTCTATGAAATTGTATTGTAGAGATGTAGTTTGCAGACTGCTCCTTCAGTAATCCCCTCAAGAAGTCCTCTAACCAACCATTACCAACCCAACAGTCCTTAACCAATAAATCCCCCTCTTTTTCATCCTGCAGAGATTCCAAACAGTCATTTGAACACCAGTTGTCTTTCCAAAAATTAACATTCCCTTGTCCCAACTCCCATCTGAGCAGCCGATCAATGTCATCTCTAGCCTTGAGCATCTGGACCAAAATTCTGGAGTCTCCCACCTTCCTAGTGACCTCCCCAGGATGGACAGACCTGCAATATTTGGCCATCATAAAGTTGGCATATAAGCTTTCTTTTTGTCTGAATTTAATCCACAACTTACACAGGCTAATGTGTTGCATCTGATGCAAGCCTTTAAAACCCAAACCACCAGCCTCACATGGTTTAGCCACTTTTTGCAAACTAGCCCAAGCCACTTGTTTTCTATTTCCAGCCCACAAAAATCTGTTGAAGGTTCTTTCCAGTAGCAAAGATGTGCGCTTTTTCATTGTAGCCACTTGGAGAGTATACAAGGGGATAGAGGTAAGAATTCTCTTCAGTAGGGTGATCCTACCCCCATTGGACAAAAAGGAGTTAGACCACCCCTGAAGAGTAGAGGTTATATTATCAATAAACTCATCAAATTAGATCAGCTTTGTTCTTCCTCTAGTGAGATGAATTCCTAAATATTTGAAAGGGAGGCTCAGACTAGAGAACACAGTGTAAGAATGCATCCATTGCTTGATTGGTAGAGAGGCTTTTTTCCTAATCAGAATCTCAGTTTTTTCCTTGTTGACCTTTAGCCCAGACACATGTTGGAACTGTTGCAGACATCCCATAATGTACTTTGTAGCAGGCTTAGAGGCCCTAGTGAACAGCAGAATGTCATCAGCATAGATGCATA